GGGCGTGAGCTTTCATGAGTCACGGCTCACTTCTTCAGATACAGCTAGAATGTGAGTCCATCTATCCTTATATCTTGGAGAGTGAAGTGATTTCAGACCGCAAATGGCAATAGTAGGCATTGGTAATGAGAAAAAACCTGGGTCTCCATTTAGTTCAGGAGGATGCATTTCCTCTATCTTCATTATCAGTTGCAATTTAGCAGTCTTTCTTTCTAATCTCCCTTTGAAATTGCTTTGTAAGAGCACTGCTACTCTTAGGTCAGCAAATGAATGTCCTGGAAGGTTAACATTTTCCCCCACTGGTTTTTGAATGTTGTGGTTTCTAACAGTAGTAGAGTCCAGTAGCACCTGAAAGACTACCACAATCTGTGGCAGGGGAGGAGCTTTTGTGAGTCACTGCTCACTTCTTTAGATAGATCGAGATGGGTAGCCATGTTAGTCTTTCTGTAGCAGTAGAAAAGAGCAAGAGTCCAAAAGCACCTTAAAGATTAACGAAATTTGTGGTAGGGGATGAGCTTTCGTGAGTCACTGCTCACTTCTGTAGACATTTCCATTTATTCTTTGCATCCTCCTGGACTGAATCCTCCTGGACCAAACTGAGACCTAGGTTTCCTGTCTCATTAGTAATGCTGATCATGCCTACTACCCCTCTGTATATTACACCTAAACCAATCAAGTCTGCTATTGGCATTCGGCATCTGAAATCATCCTTACAAAGTTTATATCTCTGGTACTTCATGTTACATTTAATGGCACACATGGCCCGGCCCGACAAAGTGACGCTGATGTCAAATCCGGCCCTCGTAACAAATTATTTTGACACCACTGGTATAAAGCATTTCACCACACCCTGGTAATGGTGAGTCATAATATACCTACTTGTGAGTGAACATTCCCTAAAACAGCCACATCCAAACTAGAAATGTTTTTGGCTGAATCAAAGCAACCACTACAATAACTACTGCTGTCTGGTTTTTTAAAAAAATTGTAACCCGCCTTCAGCCTCAGTGAGAGATCTAATCTTTAAATGAAAGAAATAAAGAAATCTCTTTATGTGCAGGAACAATGAGAGACGCCTTGTGAATCGGACCAGGAAACCACAAGCAGGTTTGATGAGCCAGGTGTCTCTAGGATCCCTTAACCACATCAACCCCATGAGAAGCAGGTGCGTTTTATTTCCCCACACACACACACAAAGTTACTTGGCTAAAGCATTAAGGGCCGTGGTCTACGCTGGAGTGTGTGCAGCTTTGCTGAAACCGGGATCCCCCTGAGGAATGTCTGCATCCTTCCCGTGGGTGGCGTTCAGGCTCATGCCGTGTTTCGGCTCTGTTGCTGCTGTTGTTATTTCGATGTG